CATCAACTAATTCATATTCTTTTCCTCTGAGCGAGGATATGTTCCAATTTCCGACTTTAAGCTCCCACTGATGGTGTCGTTTTCGTGGCGCCTTTTCTGACGCGCTGTAATGGCATCGTGCTGTGTGCCTCCTCCGTTCAGAACGGGTAGCGACTCCGTTGCTGACTGGTATCTTCGTCGTCGTTGCGTCGGTCTTATTCAGCCCTCCGTTCAGAACGGGTAGCGACTCCGTTGCTGACTGGTATCTTCGTCGTCGTTGCGTCGGTCTTCGTTCGTATTTATTTTATATTGTCCTATTATATGCACTGCATGCATTGCATGTCGCGCAGCGCTAAGTTTTTTTCACATTCCTACTTCGCCATCTGTGGATCTTTCGTTGGCCTTCACCTCACTGTGCTTGTCCATTCTGACGTAGATCAGCGTTGTGCCCTCCAGTCAAATTAATTAATTGTTCTTCCTCTCTTCCATTGTGCGTCATGTTTCTCCTATGTAATTAACACCTCACTGATTAGGCACGATACAAATCTAGCCTTGTTGCTAGGTTTTCAGGTGACTGGTTTTGATATGGATTCGCTGTCTAAGTAGTATTGTTCGGGATCTGAATGCTAGTTATATTCTCCGCTTATGGTCGATATTTAACTTGGATTTTTTGTGTATAGAACAAGAATGTTGGTGATGAAATTTGGTTTTGCATTTTTAGTTTCTCCATTCCTCACTTCATTTCTTCACTGCTCCAATTGATTCTTCTATAGTCGTCTAGGACAGCTGCTGTTTCTGGTAGCTGTTTCGATGTTGGTTAGTTTCTTTCGGATGCCAGTGTACTATGAGCTCAACTCGAAATGTCTGCTAACAAGAGTGCTAGCGATGTTCCTTTTCACACAGTATGCACGGTGAACAGCATGAACTGATTTTCATGTACAGGCACAGGAAGGTAACGACAAACGAAAGATCTGCAGATGATGAAGCAGGAATGTGGAAAAGACCTTGGCGGCTGTGCAACATGCAGCACAAAAACAGCAGTGCATGTTATGGGACCGCATGTATGGGATATACCGGGATCGAACCTTCTTAATTGGAGGGTAAAAGAAGCGTTGGCAGTGCAATGAAACCGATGCATGAATGAAAATGTTGGCATTGAAGTAATTTCGAACTGGAACCAGGTCATGAAGCAGTTTCTACGATCGAGGCTAAAACTTCTATAGAGAAGTTTGTACTTAAGCACACAGCCACCTTACTGTAACATCGTCTGTAATATGTCACTCGTTGAAAATGAATTGGGCATAACGTTGGAAAACTTGCACATAAAAAATTTTATAAGCGGAGTAATCCCTTAAAGGACTTGTACAGGGTTGAACTAAATTTCTGCACAATGGAATTCACTGGCATGTTTCAAGAATCCTGCAGTATGCAAATGAGGTGACATCGTATATTCGACTTCGCGTTAGTGCCTCAAAGGCAAATTTCTTCTTTTTATACCAGAGGGTGATGAACAGCGAATCATTTTCGACTCAATCGCGATAAGAAACGGTGTCGTAATTTATCTCGACTCCATCGTGCTACCCAATGGCCAAACGAAAGAAAAAACTGCAGCAAGTACTACAACACCAAGAGTAGTATTTCTCCAATCACCTCAGCCTTTCTGGAGAAGTTGGAAAATCAGTCTAATCGAAAATAGGCGTCCTGAAAATGGCGGTATGATCGGTTTTATGTGGTACGCCTGTGTTGGAATGTTGGTCACCTAGCGGATGACATCGGAAAATGAAAACTTTTCCAATGCTGAAGGCTGTGTCCCCTACTGCGACTGCTTTCCTTCGATTCGATGTCTACCTCAGAAGTCT